GCGATTGGCCAGGAGCTAGAGGGAGCGTGGTCTTGGGAGGCGGGGCAGAGGGGGACGGGCAGGGCAGCTCTCGACGCTGAGGTGGTGGCCGCGGCCCTTGAACAAGTAAGCTAGCCACCCTCGGAGACCCCCGCGCTGGGGACGGGCGGCCGGAGAGCCTCGGGACCTCTGAAAGCCCTGAGGAGGCGCGGGGGTGAGTGCGGCCCCGAGGAAACCCAGGTGCCCCGCCCCTCCCTTTCTTCCTGGCCCGCGCCTCGCCTTCGCCTCCCCCTCCCCTGATCCTGGCGGGGCCCCGGCTCTGGCCTCCGACCCCCGGGGTAGCGTGGTCTGCCCCGAACCAGGCGCGCGCTTCCGGCCCCGTTGGTTTAGGGAACTGGGAAGTTCCCTGGTCCTGCTCCCCAGCCCGCAGAGGGGACACTGAGGCCCACGGGAGGCGGGCCCCTCCTCACCCGCGTCTCCACACAGACACCATGGCCGAGCCCCTGAAGGAGGAAGACGGCGAGGACGGCTCTGCGGAGCCCCCTGGGCCCGTGAAGGCCGAACCCGCCCACACTGCTGCCTCTGTAGCGGCCAAGAACCTGGCACTGCTTAAAGCCCGCTCCTTCGATGTGACCTTTGACGTGGGCGACGAGTACGAGATCATCGAGACTATAGGCAACGGGGCCTACGGAGTGGTGTCCTCCGCTCGCCGCCGCCTCACCGGTGAGCTTCCTGAGCCGTCGACCCCGAGATGTGGCGGCGTTGCAGGGAGTGGGAAGCCGGCCCGTCCCAGACAGCCGGGAAGGAAATCGGGGTGCGAGTTCTGGCTCCAATCAACACACACTGACCAGGGCCCTCCGTGTGCCAGCCTCCGCGGAGGCTCGATTCTCCGAAACCCTGGCCCGGTGGTTTTGTCATCCTGCCCACCTACTGCCTCCTTAGAAAAATGACAGTCCCCAGTTAGACCAGAATGGAGATCCAGTCCTTTGTGTCTAAAAGAGAAATGTGTTCTGGAGCCAGACACTGGCACAAGAAACCGGTGGTGGGATGGGTGAGGTCTGAGAGGGAGAGGGTGTAGGCATCAGAGGCTGGACTCCACCACTGGGTAGCCGCCCAGCCTCCAACAAGTTACTAAGCCACGTTGACCTATTGGGACCTGCCTCGTAGGGAAGTTGTGAGGTAATGTTTAATAATGTAGGTAACCTGCTTAGCACAGGGCTTGGCACATGGTATGTACCCTGTACTTGGTAGCTGCTGTTAATTTGTATCCTAAAAGGGAGGTGTTGATACAGGCTGGGTTCGACTCTGCAGTTTCTCCAAGGTACCCTCTGGTATGTCCCTGTTCCCTGCTCCTCAGGCCAGCAGGTGGCCATCAAGAAGATCCCTAATGCTTTCGATGTGGTGACCAATGCCAAGCGGACCCTCAGGGAGCTGAAGATCCTCAAACACTTCAAGCATGACAACATCATCGCCATCAAGGACATCCTGAGGCCCACTGTGCCCTACGGCGAATTCAAATCTGTGTAAGAAGCGGGATGGGAGAGGGAGCCAGACTTGGGACCTTTTCTGAAGGCTGCAACCATATTGCCGAAGTTCTGGAAAGGCAGCTGAACCTAATGTGAAGCAGGCTGGGAAAATTCCCGCAGTTCTAGGACCATTCCCCTTTAGAGTGTTGCCAGGGACAACTTATTCCTTAAGAAGAGTACAGATGATTTTTCAATTTTGTAGAATCTTAGTGTATAGAATGGCAAATGTAGGCCATTCCTACCATGACCACATCCTCCTATTCCCATAGCTGACTTCACTAATCAATCACAGAACACTTTCCTACAGACAGTGGACAAGCCTGGTCAGTTTTCATCATAGTTCTTCAAGCTGCCACTACCAAACAATGGAGATAGCCCCAAAAGGAAATCTATTGGCCAGCCCTGGTGTAGTCCAACCCCATCTTTTATCTGATGGGGAAACTAGGTCTGGAGACAAAAGTGATTTAACCAAGTTCATGGAAAAGTCGTAGAGAATCTAAAACGTGATGCTCTTCCTCCATACCATGCCGTCAGCCCCTACGGGGTCCCAGGGTAAGGCTGTTACCTGTCTGGAATCGGAAGGGTGTGGTGAGGATGGGGCTTGTCCCTGGAGTGTGGTCAGGCCAACCCATGCTTCTCTCCCTTCCTTCCCCTTCCAGCTACGTGGTCCTGGACCTGATGGAGAGCGACCTGCACCAGATCATCCACTCCTCACAGCCCCTCACACTGGAACATGTGCGGTACTTCCTGTACCAACTGCTGCGGGGCCTGAAGTACATGCACTCGGCTCAGGTCATCCACCGTGACCTCAAGCCCTCCAACCTATTGGTGAATGAGAACTGTGAGCTCAAGATTGGTGACTTTGGTATGGCTCGTGGCCTGTGCACCTCGCCCGCTGAACATCAGTACTTCATGACTGAGTATGTGGCCACTCGCTGGTACCGTGCCCCCGAGCTCATGCTCTCTTTGCATGAGTACACACAGGCTATTGACCTCTGGTCTGTGGGCTGCATCTTTGGCGAGATGCTAGCCCGGCGCCAGCTCTTCCCAGGCAAAAACTACGTTCACCAGCTACAGCTCATCATGATGGTTCTGGGTACCCCATCACCAGCCGTGATTCAGGCTGTGGGGGCTGAGAGGGTACGGGCCTATATCCAGAGCTTGCCCCCACGCCAGCCTGTGCCCTGGGAGACAGTGTACCCAGGTGCCGACCGCCAGGCCCTATCACTGCTGGGTCGCATGCTGCGTTTTGAGCCCAGCGCCCGCATCTCAGCAGCTGCTGCCCTTCGCCACCCCTTCCTGGCCAAGTACCATGACCCTGATGATGAGCCTGACTGTGCCCCGCCCTTTGACTTTGCCTTTGACCGAGAAGCCCTCACTCGGGAGCGCATTAAGGAGGCCATTGTGGCCGAGATTGAGGACTTCCATGCAAGGCGTGAGGGCATCCGCCAACAGATCCGCTTCCAGCCTTCTCTACAGCCTGTGGCTAGTGAGCCTGGCTGTCCAGATGTTGAGATGCCTAGCCCCTGGGCTCCCAGTGGGGACTGTGCCATGGAGTCTCCCCCACCAGCCCCACCAGCGTGCCCTGGCCCTGCACCTGACACCATTGATCTGACCCTGCAGCCACCCGCAGCAGCCAATGAGCCTGCCCCACCGAAGAAAGAGGGCGCCATCTCAGACAACACTAAGGCTGCCCTCAAAGCTGCGCTGCTCAAGTCTTTGCGGAGCCGGCTCAGAGGTGCCTTGTGGGTAGGTCGGGTGGGCAGAGGGGAAACTTGGACTTGGACAAGGCTTCAGGCTTTTACCTTCTTCCTTGCCCAACTTCCCCACAGATGGCCCTAGCGCACCCCTGGAGGCTCCTGAGCCTCGGAAGCCAGTGACAGCCCAGGAGCGCCAGCGGGAGCGGGAGGAGAAGCGGCGGCGGCGGCAAGAGCGAGCCAAGGAGCGGGAGAAACGGCGGCAGGAGCGAGAGCGAAAGGAACGGGGGGCTGGAGCCTCTGGGGGCCCCTCCACTGACCCCCTGGCTGGACTAGTACTCAGTGACAATGACCGAAGCCTGTTGGAACGCTGGACTCGAATGGCCCGGCCCCCAGCCCCAGCCCCAGCCCCCACCTCTGTTCCAGCCCCTGCCCTAGCACCAACGCCAACCCCAGCCCAGCCTACCAGCCCTCCCCCTGGCCCGGTAGCCCTGCCCACTGGCCCCCAACCACAACCTGCAGGCTCCACCTCCGGCCCTGTACCTCAGCCTGCCTGCCCACCCCCTGGCCCTGCACTCCACCCCACTGGCCCTCCTAGACCTATCCCTGTCCCTGCATCACTCCAGGTTGCCACTTCTACCAGCCTCCTGGCTCCCCAGTCACTTGTGCCGCCCCCTGGGTTGCCTGGCTCCAGCACCCCAGGAGTTTTGCCTTACTTCCCATCTGGCCTCCCACCTCCAGATGTGGGGGGAGCCCCTCAATCTTCCATGTCAGAGTCACCTGATGTCAACCTCGTGACCCAGCAGCTATCTAAGTCACAGGTGAGAGGGAGGTCCAGGCCATGGAGACACCTGGATCTGGGCCAAAGGAAAATGGGTTCAGGAAGTGGTCCTTATTCCACAAAAACTGAGCAGCAGATGGGGCTTTATTCCTGAATAAGTCTTCTGGCTCACAGAAGGAGCATAATGCCAATGAAGATGTTGTTAGGAGACAAGTTAGATATGGCCGGGAAAGTGCCTGGCCGGGAGATGGGCCTAGCCAGCCCGCACTGACTGCTGAGACTGGTGTTAGCACTCCTAGGTACCCAGGCGGAATAGTCAGCAGCACTGGGACAGGGTGCCCTGCAGACTCAGTCTGCCTGCATTGTAACCTATCATTCCTTGCAGGTGGAGGACCCTCTGCCCCCTGTGTTCTCAGGCACACCAAAGGGCAGTGGGGCTGGCTACGGCGTTGGCTTTGACCTGGAGGAATTTTTAAACCAGTCTTTCGACATGGGCTTGGCTGATGGGCCACAGGATGGGTAAGGTGGCTAGACTGAGCTCCTAGAATGGGGCTGTGGGGAGAGGTTCCTGGTGCAGGAGGCCTGCACCTGTGGGATGAGTGAGGCTCCAGCCTAGGCTAATAGCGCCACTCCCATCCCTTCCCCTGCAGCCAGGCAGATTCAGCCTCACTCTCAGCCTCCTTGCTTGCTGACTGGCTTGAAGGCCATGGTATGAACCCTGCCGATATTGAGTCCCTGCAGCGTGAGATCCAGATGGACTCCCCAATGCTACTGGCTGACCTGCCTGACCTCCAGGACCCCTGAGGCCCACAGCCTGTGCCTTGCTGTTACAGTGGACCTAGTTCCAGGATCCATGGGAGCATTCTCAGAGGCTTTAGCCCTGGACCCAGCAGGTGAGGCTCAGCTTGGATTATTCTGCAGGTTCATCTCAGACCCACCTTTCAGCCTTAAGCAGCCACCTGAGCCACCACCGAGCCATGACAGGATCGGGAGATCCCGACTCCCCCTGAACAATCCTTTTCAGTATTATATTTTTATTATTATTATGTTGTAATTACACTGTCTTTTTGCCATCAAAATGAGGCCTGTGAAATACAAGGTTCCCTTCTGCGCCTGACTCCAGGTGTAATTTTTGGAGTTTGGGGTAAGACACCATCAGTAGGGGAGCAAGGAGGAGCCAGGTGCCTACATTTTGGGGCTAAACAAATATGTTTGTGTGCACGAAGCCAGTTCATTCAGGTTCTGAAGGTTTATTGAGCCCTTCAGTCCCTACCAACTTCCAGCCCTGCAGAGATTGTCCTCTGCCTACTCATGTTGCTAAACCTCAACCCCCAGAGGGTGTGGGGAAGGCCTCATATGCATGCCTACCTTGGCTGTAACTGTTTCAGGGTGGTATGCAGTAGCTGTGGCCTTGGCATAGAGCTTCAGGGCCTGGGATGGGCCATCAGGGGAAGCTGAGTATGATAGTGAGGTGGGCTGGGGGTCCACGGTGCTCACCACAGGGGAGTAAGTTGGTGGGAGGGAGGCTGAAGATGGGACATGGTTTAAGAGCAGCCAGAGGACTGCTGGGCTGTGGCCTGGAATGCACTGTGGGCCCTGTTCACTCTGCACCACTCACCTAGCACACTGGTGGCCCAGACGGGTCCACAGTGAGGAAGAAGGGCAAGATGGAACACCAAGGCCTGCAGCTGGGAGGGCGGCTCCTGGCTGTCGGCTGATGGGACAGGGTGGAGGCAACTCAGTGTCGTGGAGCCCATCCAGGTCCGGGCTAGAACCATGTGCCGCTTCGAAAAGGCCTGGGGAGCTGCTGGCAGCGTAACTTCAGGTGCAGGGGAGCTGGACCTGGCTTAGGAATGGACGCCCTGGGTGTGTGACAGGGATGAGGCATGGCTGAGAGCCACAAGGTCCCCTGTAAGGAGTTGGTGCTTGGGAAGCAGCAGAAGCATGCATCAGGGGCAGCAGAGGGAGCACTCATGGAGACCATGGGTGTACAGGGGAGGGGTCCAGCCCCTCAGGCCCGGCGGATTTTCATTTCGGTGCGCTTGAGAGAGTAGTAGAAGCCTTTCCACTGGGCCCAGTTGATGCCATTGGCATAAGACAGGTGGGAGCCACCTAGGTAGAAGCCATTGAGGTTGGCAAAGTGGCAGCTGCGGAACCAGAAGGCTCCTGAGGAGAGAGCTGCACAATTCTGCACAAAGAGGTCCTGGTCCCGGTCAAAGGTAGAGAACTTCTGGCCACTGTGGTAGGACAGGGAGTCACCTGGAAGCGGGGAGAAGGGATGGGGCCGCTGAGGGAGGGAACTGAGCCCTAAGCTGGCCAGGAGAGGATGACAGTGATGACTGTGAGAGACATCACGTGGCAGCCTGGCGGGTTAGGGGCACCCTTCCTGAGCCAGATGTTGGGTAGATGTGCTTCTGCAATGAAGAGAAACAGCTGTTCCGCCAGAGTTGCCTGGAGCAGGGCCAGGATGCTGGCTCCCCAGGGCTGAGGCCCAAGCTGGTTTGAGCTGGTTTGGAGCCAGCTGTGGCCCTTCCAGAGGGTTTGAAGGAGGGGCCTGAAGGCGGTTAGGGCTAACTGGGCAGGGCCAGCCCTAAAGCTGACGGGAGGGTATACCTGCCCCGCCGTCCTCGAAGCCTGCCACATAGAGGGTGTAGCCGTCCTCCTCTGCGCTGACTGCATTTGGGGAGATGGAGAAGTCAGCGTACTTGGCATAGGCCGTGTTGTTCTCAAAGTCCTCCAAGTCCACTCGCAGCTCGTACTTCTGCTTCAGTGTCAGGAGGTGCATGTTCTGCAGGCCTGGGGAGGAGGGGCAGCTGCTAACAAGGATCTGGCCCTGGGGCAGCCCCTCAGCCCACCTGGTCCCCACCTTACCCAGCCAGTACTCTCCGTCGGCACGGCCGAAGCCCAGCTTGTAGTCATTCCAGCCCCGGAAGAAACTCACTGAGCCATTGAATCTCTTCTGGAAAACCTGGAGCAGAGAAGATGAGACTGGACCATCAAGGGTCCAGTGGGTAGGGTTCTGATCCTGCTCTGCCTACCTCAAGCATGGACCCTGTGATGCTGTGGCCAGTTTGTTAAAGGACTGAGTTGCGGGGGTGGGTAGTGGGAATGGGGTTGCTAAAATAAGGTCCACATTGGCACCAGGCCCCAATGGAGCAGCTGCCAGCACCCACCTGGGCTCTTCATACCCGGTTTCGTATAGAGGCAGGAAAGGCTAACAGGAGAGTGTTCTGGAGTTCGAGTGCCTAGCTGTGGGGTCTGGGCAAGTTACCTCACCTGTCTGGGCTTTAGTTCTCACTAAATGCACTGTGGTAGGACAGGGAGTCACCTGCTTCCCAGGATTATTGTGAGGGTTATATGCATTAACCTACCTCGGCCGGGCTCGATGGTTCACACCTGTCATCCCAGCACTTTGGGAGGCCGAGGCAGGTGGATCACCTGAGGTCAGGAGTTCAAGGCCAGTCTGGCCAACATGGTGAAACCCCATCTCTACTAAAAATACAAAAATTAGCCGGGTGTGGTGGTGCATGCCTGTAGTCCCAGCTACTTGGGAGGCTAAGGCAGGAGAATCGTTTGAACCCGGGAGGCAGAGGTGGCAGCAGTGAGCTGAGATCGAGCCACTGCACTCAAGCCTGGGCGACAGAGCGAGACTCCATCTCAAACAAACAAAAACAAAAAACCTGCCTCAGGCACTTAGAATTAAGTGTTGGCAGCTGCTTAGAAGCTGTGCCGTGGGTACAATTATCCCCATTTTAAAGATGAAGAAACAGGTTCACAGAGGTGAAGCCCGGGGTCACAGGGCTGGGATTAGAACCAGCTCTTACTTCTGTTCCCTCCTACTCACCGTCCACTTCCCGCCCTCAGTGGTCATGTCACAGAAGACGGGCACAGGCACGCTGGGGCCCGAGGGGTAGATGAGGTACACGCCATCTGACCGGTAGCCCTGGGCATAGATGTCATCACAGTCCAGGGGTTGCTGGAAGCAAGACCTCTCCAGAGCTGGGGGTGGGGACATGGGGACAGTGAGGAGAGTTGGACTAAGGCATGATTGACACCTCAACACCCCAAGGTTTGCCTCAGCCCCTGGGGCTGGGGGACTTTGTCACAAGGAGTTACGCAAGATTTCTTCAAGGGGGATGAGCAATGCTCATGTCATCCATCTGCCCCATTTAGTGAAGGAGGAACCTGAGTCCTGCAGAGCTGGGGCTCGGCCCTGACAGTCTGTTCTGACAGTCCAGCTTCTCCTCACCCAACCTGTGGGTCAGGCTACATCTATGAATGTGGGGCTGCTTACCATCTCCGCGGATCCCGGAGACCTGGGGGGCACACGGGGATGTGGAGAGAAGCAGCAGCAGCGGCAGGGCCAGGAGGGCCTGGCAATGGGCACATGGTCAGCGCAGCCCCTTCCCAGCCCCACAGACCCCCTGTTCTCTGCATTTGCCCCCACCGTGCGTGCCCATGCTGCCCTTGCCTGAATCCCTCTCCTGCCCTTTGGCCCCTCTTTCTCCTCCCAAGTAATCCCACTCTCTGGGATAGGCTATATACCCTCACAGCTTACGAGTTTCAAGAGAACTCCTTGTGCCTTCATAGTCCCCTCTGGCCAAGGGCCTCTGGAGTGGGCTCAATCCTCCAATGCTATTGAGTCCCCCCACCCTGGGCCCCGTACCTTCATGTTGTCAGTTCTGCTCAGAGTGGCTGGGTGTCTGCAGCCCTAGACTGCAACCGCCCAGAGTTATGTGCTGGGCCCTCGCCAGCCGCCCCAGCCCCGCCCCCCTTCCCGTAGCTGCAGAACCCCCCTCTCCCCACCCCAGACAACCAGCATCAGCTTACACTATCAGGGGGCTGGGAGGTGGAGCCGGAGCCAGGGGACCACCTGTGTCTCATTAAGCCTGTCGGGCAAAGCACTGCAGACGTTAACTCCCTGCTGGCTCCACTGTTCCCTGGATCCCACTCCATCCACCACCCGCCCAGCAGGACCTGTGGGCCCCCTGGCACCCCCAGGCAGTCCCAGCCTGCCCGCTGCTTTCTGACCGGCCCCCCTGCAGATGTCTGTTTATTCTCTCCCCATCCTTCCCTGGCCTGTGTTTCATCAGCCATTGAGGGGGAGGGCTGAGGGAGAGTGGGGATGTCACTTGGCTTCTGAGGAGGGGAGGCCTGCTCTGGGGGAGCAGAAGGCTGAGGGGACAGCTCCAGAGCTCCCGATGTGGGAGCCTGGCTGGGGTTGGTGGGGGGACAGAGGCAGCAGTCTCCTGGCAGGCCTGGGACATTTCTGAGCCATGAGCACAAGACTGCTGGCGTCCAACTGCTCTGTCTGCCCTAGCTCAAGACAGGGCCCCTTTCCAGCCCCGCTCCACAGCCCGCCCCCCTCACTCTGGCCATCTCAGGCCTGCTCTTTTCTCCTCCCACAGTTCCCTGGCCCATCTGTCTGGCTCACATACACCATGTATGGGACCTCTTTTGTTTCTCCTCACTCCACCCCTCCTTCCTTCTTCCAAACCCTTCACTTTGGCTCCCACACCTCCTAGACTCTACTTCATCTGAATCTGCCTGCTTCTGGGCTCTCTCCTCCCATCCTTGGCACACCACCAGGAGAGTTGTTCTAGATGGCCTCTCCGATTATGTCACCCTGCTTAAGCCTCATGGCTCCCTATTGTCTCAGGGCTGAGGCTAGGTTTTTCACCTTGGACATGAAAGGAATTTCAAGTCTGTCTCTGGCCTACCTTGAGGACCTTGTCCCTTATTGCTGTGACTCACAAACTATAGTGTAGCCACTCCAGACTTCTCACCCACTCCTTTGTGCTGTTCCGTGGTGCCCACTGATCTGCCTCCTTTTCTTGGCCATAAGGGCCAGGGAGCAGGGTCTGTCTCATTTCTGCATGCTTAGTGCCCATCACAGAGCCTGGCACAGAGTAGGCTTGATATGTACATGCACAGTTACTCGTGTATCTATATCTATAAATAGATATTAGAGTTGGGGCCTTACTCTGTTGCCCAGGTGCAATCATAGCTCACTGCAGCCTGAAGCTCCTGGGCTCAAGTGATCTCCCGCCTCAGCCTTCTGAGGAGCTAGGACTGCAGGTATGCCACTACACCCAGCTAATTTTTAAATTTTTTGTAGAGATGGGGCATCTCCCTATGTTGCCCAGGCTGATGTTGAACTGGCCTCAAGTGACCCTCCCATCTTCATCTCCCAAGTAGCTGCGACTACAGAGCCACGACATGGCTCACAGATAACTTTTGAGTGCTGTGTGCCATAGGTTATGCTGGCTGCTGAGTATCCACAAGAAGTGGCAAGCACAGGTTTTGGACAGTGAATTGTAAATGTAATGTGTGTTACAAAAAGACATTTGTTGAGCGGATGAACAGATGAAATATTCAAAGGCACAGAGATGAGGCAGCTCTGGCTTAGTTCCCATCTATCTCCACTCCTGAGTCAATAGGTAAGCCCCTTGGAGAAGCCCCAGCTGGCTTCCTTGACTTGGTTCTGTGATTGCCTCTGTTCGTAGTTGTGTCTTGTGCCAGGCTGCCTCAGTTCAAATCTAGGTCCTGTTGCCTGTTAGCTGGGTGAGCTTGCACAAGTTACCTAGTCTCTCTGCCTTGGTTTCCGCCTCTGTAAAACGAGGATAGTCATAGTATCTACTTCATAGGGTTGTGGTAAGGACTAAGTAATCATACCAAGTTCCTAGAGCAGTGGCCACAATTGGCAACTATTTAGTAAATATTAGCTATCGTCATCGTCATAAACATCATGATTCTCCTATGAATGGGTTGTCTTCAACACAGCCTATATCCCTGCCTGTGGAGGAGACAGTTGGCTGACCCTCAATACTCATTCTTCCCTTAGTCCTCAGTAGTAAGATCCTGATTTTTATCTGAGCTCATTGTCCAGCCCTCTTGTAGCTAGGTGAGGTCACACATCTGAATTTTGGCTAATAAGATGCCAACAGTTGTGTTGTAAAGGTAGGTGGCTTGTCCTTCTTCATCATGCTCTCTGTCCTGTGGGATGTGATGGCTGGAGCTCTAGCTGCCACCTTGGACAGTGGGGATGAGGCCTCATCGGGATGGCAGAGGAGGATAGTTGGACACCTTTCATTTGCCTCCTGCTTTTCTCTGTACTGCCCTGGGCCCCGGGCAAAGCCTCTCATGACTTCGTGGAGTGGGTTCAAAACCAGCCCTGGACTGCCCTCCTCTATGCCTTTTGTTACGCAGGAGAGAAAGAAACTTCTATGTACTTTAAGTTTCTTTCTTTTTTTTTTTTTTCCTGTTACACACAGCTGAATCTAATCCTGATCTCTTCTTTCAGCAAATGCCAGCTAATTTTAACACAAGTCTATAAAAAGGAATATAATGAAAAAGATCAGTCATCAAAACAAATAATAAAATGCATCAAAAGTCAAGTATTGAAGACTTCTGGAGAATACCACTAATGAACAAACACAGAAACTCCCCTCCCCCTAAAAAAGAGACAATGAGAGAATGAAGATATGAGGCATCAATTACATTTTGTCAACTGGTTTTTACTTTAAAAATTTAGTAATGTGGGTGGGTGCAGCAAAGCAGGCACTCTGTTCATCGGATGTGGCTGGAAATTAGTTTAACTTTTGTGGGAAAGAAATTTGGCAATAACATACCCAGAGTCGGTAATCCTTCAAAGATGTTGTCTAGAGGAAATACTCTGACATGTTGAAGAGGCTACAGGTATAGTTGGGGGACATTACTTGTTGGCTGCCCAGCATGGGAAACCTCTTCCCACGTTTGGGGTGTCCCTCTCCTAACTAGAATGCTGGGTGTTCACATTTCCATGCTCCCTTGCAGTTTGATTGAAGGCACATGGCCTTGGTTTAGCTGATGTAATGCGTGGTCCCGGGCTTCATTTTGGGAGAAAGTGATTTGAGAAACAGGAGCAGGAAGAATGCATTCCTGGGGTGATGGTGACCCCAGTGCTGTATGGGTCCTAGTGTCTCTGGGTGGTTGGTGGTGGCTTGGCAAGCACAGTGCTGAGTGACGCTGGCTTAGGCTTGGGCTGCAAAGCTCTGAGCTTGGTTCTCAGCCCTCCCAGTGATCAGTCTGCTCTGCCTGTCAACGTTTTTGAAAGAGACCCTAACTCACATGCACGAAGATGTTTATGTCTGGATTCTGTCATGGCTAACAACAGACACTGACTCTGATTTTGTTGGGAGGCTTTGCTGGGAGTCTAGACTGGGGGTGGGTGGGAGCTGAGCTGCCCTGGGCTCTGGAAAGCAGGCCCTCAGTGGGCGTCCTGTGGTGGGACAGTGCCGGGGCGATGCTGCTCAATGCACAGGGCTATGGCTTTGTCTGTCTGCCAGATTCCAGGAGTGGGGAGAACCCATCCCACTGGCCAAGCTTGGATTGTTTTACCCACCCCTTGGCTAAAGGGGGCAGTTGGACACCTTTCATTTGCCTCCCCACTTTTCTCTGGGCCCCGGGAGGCCAGCCTTACCCTCTGGTTTCTGATTGGGTCCAGCCAATGGGGAGCTTAGCAGGATTCAGCGGGAAGGAGAATGAAGTCGGAGTATTCATTCCCCTCCGTGTAGAGTCCCCACAGGCTGGCTTTGTTCCTCAGCCAGCAGTCTCAAGTCCTGTCAGACAGCCATCTCCATACAGCCCCTGACTCGCTGTGGGCAACTCCTTCCTCCTCTGGCCCCTTCAGGTCTAGGGGTGTCGACAGCCCTGGTATTACCAGCCCGGAGATAGCGGCCATCTCCTGCTCGCACCTCAACAAATAGTCCTTTTGTTAAATGCTACTCAAATTGTCCTAATCTGAGTGTTACTTGATGGAAACTGGACTGATGCAGCGAGAGAGGCATCCCTGACTATAATACAGAAAACAAGTGTGAGATTAGAGGGGAGGTCGCTGCAGGTGTCCTGAAATTCTCCACTAAATACCCTCTATAATATTTATTGTAATATACGCTGTAATACTGTAGGACATTTGCTCAAGTTGGTGTGGCTCCTCCCCCTGGGTTAGGCCTGTGTTGCTTGTTCTCCACGTTCTCTGATCCACCTTCACCCTCCTCTGATCCTGGGAGCTGCCCTATAGGGAGGGGATTGCTGGGTTTCCATGGCCTCTCGCTTCCAGCTGGGTTTGGCTAATGGGAGACACCAGCAGGAGATGGGAGAGGAGAGAGGTTGAAGTATTTCTTCCTGGCTCTTGTCTTGGTGGGCACTACAGTTTTGGCCATAGCTGCACCCCCTGTCCCCCGCTGCCACCTGCTGATGACATCTCCTGCTATAATCTCCTTCACTGGCTTCAGTAACCCTGTTTCCTCCCCTTTCCTCTCAGGTTGGGATAATGAGGGCTGTCATCCTTGCTAGTCCCAGGACGTCTCAATGCCCCATGTTGCTTTCCTTAATGTTTACACCCAAGTAAATAGTCCCTTCATTAAATTCTCTGAAGAAAAAAAAAAAAAACCTAAAACAGCTGAGTTCACCCTTTGTTTCCTGAGAGAATGCTGGCTGACTCAAGGTCTTACTTTGGTTTCCTCTAAAAGCAGCAGCCTGTGCAATGGAGCATTTTCTGTTGTTTCAGACAGCAGCTAAGGATGAGACTCCTATTCTGTCTGCAGGTGCAGACACCTCCCTGTGTATCTTACTGGCGGGCAGCTAGACTGCTCCTTTATCCAACCTCCTGTATCCCAAGCTAGAAAAGCCTGCATCAAAGCAGAGAGCACCTAGGGAGGAGAGAGATGGTGGGTCCCCCCAACCCAGGCCAAGCGAAGGGGCTCCAAGAGAGAAGGG